TGAGGGAAGCTTCATTTCTCAAACCTGTTTTCAAAAGTTAGGATTATCACGACAACCATTCAACGTTTCAGTCCACGGAGTAGGTAACAGCCATGCTGGTTATACACGAGGATTAACATCACTTTTCATTCAAACCAAGCAAGATACAGACATTCAAGTTACAGCATACATCTTGAACAAGCTAACTAACGTTTCCTCACTCAACACATCCATTGATTATTGGTTTCATATTCAAAACCTTGAACTTGCTGATCCATACTTCTACCAATCAGGTCAAATAGATATCATTCTAGGAGCTGACATTTACGTAGATCTATTGATAGATGGTATAGTTAGAGGTCCAGAAAACACTCCATCAGCTATCAATTCCAAACTAGGTTACTTGTTGTCAGGAAGATTATCAGATCCATCATCTGAAGGTATTCATTCATTCAGATTATCTATTAAAAGTAATGACATAAACACTGCAGTAGAGCGTTTTTGGAAGATAGAAGAGGTCAATCATGAACCTACTTCTCAATTGCAAGATAATGACAATTGTGAAAATCATTTTCTGAACACACATTCTCGAGATGAATCCGGAAGATTTTGTGTTTGTCTTCCTTTTAAACCATCAATTACTGAGCTTGGTGATTCTTATTCAACAGCATTAAGCAGATTTAAAAGACTAGAATCGACACTCACTTCTGACAGACGTGAAAGTTATCAGTCTTTCATGAAAGAATACATTGATTTAGGTCACATGCATCAAACACCCAGCGAATTATCATCCATTGACAGTAACAAACACTACTATCTACCTCATCATGCAGTATATAGAGATTCGAGTTCAACAACTAAAACCAGAGTTGTTTTTGATGCATCATGCAAAACAACATCAGGTACATCATTGAATGATCATCTGTATACTGGTCCAAAACTTCAAACTGACATAATGGATTTGCTAATTAGATTTCGATTGCATGAAATTGTATTAACGGCAGACATTGAGAAGTTTTACAGCCAAATTTTAGTGAGCAAATCTGATCAATGCTATCAAAGAATACTTTGGAGATCATCACCAGAAGAACCGATTAAGTCTTATGACCTTAACACAGTTACTTATGGAACATCATGCGCACCATTCTTATCCATACGTTGTTTACATCAACTATCTGACCACATTAAGGATTATTCTCCTGAAGTGGCTAGGATATTGAAAGAAGACTTTTATGTTGACGATCTTGTAAGTGGAGCCAATACTGTAGATCAAGCTTTATCCATAAAAAATGAACTAGTTCGAACACTAAATCAAGCAGGGTTTCCATTGCGCAAGTGGTCATCTAACGCCAAAGAAGTTCTAGATGAAATAACACCAAGTCAAACCATTTTCAATTTCAATCAGAAGACTCTTCAGTCAAACTATTAGGACTTCTGTGGAATCCCGAAAGTGATACTTATCAGTATTCAATTAATTTACCTGACTTACCAAGCAAAATAACTAAACGTAAAATTTTATCTGAAATTGCCCGTCTATTCGATCCATTAGGTCTATTGTGTCCAGTAATAACCAAAGCAAAACTCATCATGCAAAAAACCTGGTTATGCAATAATGGTTGGGATGAGACAGTTTCTGATGAATTATCTAGTGAATTTGTTCAATATTGTAACAATTTGTCACACCTCAAGAATCTTCAGACACCCAGACCATTAGTTTTATTTGGGTCTGAAGTTATCTATGAATTATTTGGTTTTTGCGATGCTTCAGAAAAGGCATACGCTGCAGTCTTATACCTCAGAAGTGTTTCAACATCAAATGTACAAGTTCAATTGATCTGTGCTAAGTCAAGAGTATGTCCACTTAAGAAAGTTTCAATCCCCAGGCTGGAGTTATGTGGCGCAGTGCTATTAGCTCAACTAGTTGACAAAGTAAAACCAATTTTACCTACCTCAAACACTTATTTATTTACTGACTCTACAGTTGTGCTGGCATGGATTTCAAAACCCCCAAACACATGGAAAACATTTGTAAGCAGCAGAGTGTCACAAATTCAATCCCTCACCAAAACATCAGATTGGAATCACATTTGTTCAGAAGATAATCCTGCTGACCTAGCATCTAGAGGTGTCTTAGGAAACAATTTTATCAATCAGGATTTGTGGTGGTTTGGACCTTCATATCTGTTGGATAAAAATATGAAAATAAATGAATCTATTCATAATGAAAATGCATATGTACCTGAAAGAAGATCCGTCAAATGTGCTTTACTAAGTACTGATGAGTGGTATTTAAAATTTAGTTCATACACCAAAGCCATCAGAGTTACTGCTTATTGCCAAAGATTTATAAACAATCTCAAACAGCCTGTACAAAATGGACCACTTACCCCAAATGAATTAGACAATGCTCTTCTATGTATTGTCAAACAAATTCAAAAAATTCATTTTGCTGAAGAAATATTATGTTTGCAGAAGAAGAAATGTGTGAAACCCAACAGTAAACTTTCAAGATTAAATCCATTTTTAGATGACAATGGAATTTTACGAGTTGGAGGACGGACTCAACAATCCAATCAATCATTTGACACCATACCATACATCAAATAATTTTACCGGTAAAACACCAATTCATTCGGTCTTTCATCATTTACCTACACCGTATTTATTTTCATGTTGGAACACAATTTATAATGAACACATTAAGACAGAAGTATTGGTTGATAGGCAATACAAGAAATTTGATTCGTGATGTCATTCGAAAATGTTCAAGATGTTGTAGATTCAGTAACATTTCATATCAACCTATAATGGGCAACTTACCTGAATCACGGGTAACATTCACTCGATGTTTCTATTCCACTGGTTGTGACTTTGCAGGACCCTTCTTAACAAAACAAGTCAATTCAAGAAGCAAAATACTCAGAAAAACCTACTTAGTTGTTTTTGTTTGTATGGAAGTCAAAGCTGTTCATCTAGAACTAGTTTCAGACCTAACAACAGATACCTTTTTAGAGCTTTAAACCGTTTTGTCAGTAGAAGAGGCATTCCTGCACATATGTATTCAGACAATGGAACAAGTTTTGTTGGAGCAAACAACAGTATAAGAAAGTTTCTCAAGGAAAGTCAAGATGTTATCAAGGAATCCACCTCAGAAAGACATATCAATTGGCACTTCATCCCTCCCCATGCACCAAATATGGGAGGACTTTGGGAATCCGCTGTAAAATCTTCAAAATTTCATCTAAAACGTGTCATTGGAGATCAAATATTATCTTTTGAAGAACTAAACACATTAATCATTCAAATAGAAGCAATTTTAAACTCACGACCCCTCTGCAAAGTATATGATGATCAAGCTGAAATTAATATTTTAACTCCTGCACACTTCCTAATTGGTGAAAATCTAGTTTCTATCCCGGAAAAATTGGATGCTGGACATATCAACTACAACAAGAGATGGAGGCTTATTCAAAGAATGAAAAATTCATTTTGGACAAGATGGCAAAAGGAGTATCTTCATACTCTTCAACAGCGGCACAAGTGGAAATTTCAAGACGGTAATGTCAAAGAAGGTGAAGTTGTTTTAGTCAAAGAAGACAATATGCCACCAATGAAGTACGCCATGGGACGAATAGTTAAAACATTTCCTGGACTAGACAACATTGTAAGAGTTGTGGAAGTGAAAACTCAAAACGGACTAATAAAAAGACCAATCAACAAGTTGATAAAAGTTCCCACCTAATCATTTTTTTTTGCGGGGGAGTTATGTTAAAAGCATTTAATTTCATCCCTTGGTCTGTAAATACAGTTTTCTCTTGTACTTTTGTTATTAACACATGTTATTAATCATTATTAATTTTTTGCAAACAGTTTTTCAATAATAATACACATTCTTTTGTTCACATTACAGTGTTTCTAATTTAATCTACATTTTTTCTATAAAATAATAATTTCAAGAACATCAGTTCACAACAAAACAAACAGTCACTTTTATTCTTCAATAATATCGGCAAATAAACTAATTATAACCAGGAATTTTGGCCATGGTGAAGTTATTTTGTCACAGTTTCAGTATAATTCGCTACAATGTTCATCAACAAACCTTTAGAATGGTGTTTGTTCTGTTGGGGAATCCATCGTCGAAGCAAAATTATTAGTTTCATTGCTGTTCTGATCGTGTTAGGTTCTTTCTTCTCAACGATTTACAATTCAAATGAAGATAATATCACAAATAACCATGAACACAGCTTTGAACACAATATCAAAATGTATCTTTTTGATCATCCCTCCAGTTTTTATGATTTACAACTTGAATGTGGAATATTTCAAACTATACTCCATTCAAAACATTTTGGTGGTTTAAGGGTAGGGAAGACATCTAACCCCTCCACTTTAAGATTCTAACATAGCTAAAACATACCTCTACAGATGAGATTTATCAAATTGCCAATCAGCTGCAAGATAAATTAAGCACGAAAAAGTAGCAGGGGAACTTCCCCTTAAACCGCCTACATTTTGTGAACAAACTATAGAGTGGGCCTAAACATAAGTTCTAATCTTCTAAAAGGTAACGTAGAAACAACACAGGGAGAATAGATAGATATTAAAAACAATTTACAAATTGTTTCAACGAATTCTCAAGTAGGTAAACATGGCAAATACAGCCAACAGCAAGAGTGGGGAAAAATTCAATACAACTAATTTGGTCATGTCACACTTTACATATTAACACTTGTTCTGATTGGACAGCAACATTATGCACTTAAACTAATGATCCCGAAGAATGTTTTTCATAGTTACGATGTCTTGAGTGGTTTCTGCAGCAACCTATTTAGCAGCAGGAGAAAATAAATGATACAATGATATTGAAACCCCTGGAGTGGATATTGTTCAGTTGTGGAATCCATCGCCACAGCAAACTCATCTGTTTTGTAATCCTAGCAGTCGCGATGGTATTAGACTACAAAAACTTTTATATTATTTTTGCAAATGACGAAGGCAAAATAACATTTAAAACAGTGATGGCTACTATAGAGGTCGTTGCTTTTGCTAGCGTTCCAGTAGTGAGCATGATCTACAACTGGAAATACTTTGACCATTGTGAGCAAATCTGGGCAGATGTAGGATGTCTGATGGAACGTCTAAACCTGACATACACGTCAAGACAACAGAAGATGATTCTCTGTGGGGTCCTCGCACAGTACTTGGCTCTAGCAGTTGCCGTTTGGACTGGTAAAGCTAAAGCTATGTACCTTGTTCTATCGAGCTTCACATATGGTTGTTTCCTGGCACCCCAAGTATATCACGTGATATTCGTGGTCACATTCCAAAGACTCTTCAGAGCTGTTAATGAAAGAATCATTGAAGTAAACTCATCAGCAGGAACTGTTAGCTCTCAAACAACAGCTTCGCAGTTGGCAAACGCATTTCAACTGTACACTGAACTCCAGGAGGTTGTTCAAAAGATGAATTCTTACTTCACTCTTTACTTGCTCTCCGTCCAGTTCGTCCGCAGTTTCTTCTTGTGTAATGAAGGATTCACATTTCTAGTCACAGCTGGATCCGAACAATTAACTTGGCCAAGGCTCATCTACATAGTTCTCAACTTAACAGCTCTGTTGTCTCATTGCGCTGCGTGTGAGGCTTGTTGTCAAGAAGCTCACAAAACAGTTATCCTCGCCCATCAGCTGGTCACGTATAACTCTCCTGGTGTTATTATCGAGACAGTCAGTCTGTTCTCTCTAGCGACGTTCAACGCCAAAGTCAGCTTCAGTGTTGGAGGAGTCTTCTCTATAGACATGTCTCTAGTTACCAAGATGCTCTCGCTTGTAATCAGCTACCTCATTGTAGTGCTACAACTCACTGACTAAGATGTGGACTTCAAAAATACTTAGCTGAATTGTGCTATTTAGCTAAGTATATGATCACAGACCATCTCACTATCACTGACTACGGATTTGGAATATTTTGAACAAATAAGGGCCTCAATATAATTGTTCCTTTTCTAAGTGAATTTTATATGGTTTTACACGACTAAGAATTCAATAAGGAAAGTCACATTTTTTTGGCTTTGAACAAAACAGTGGGGATATCAATAAAGAGCTGGTTAAATAGTATTTGATCTCTGGACACATTTGTTTCAGAAAACGAAAGATTGTTTTCTTGTCTGTTAATGAATATTTCCACCAGAAAATTGAGAGGAAGAAACATTGTGACAACAATAGAACAGTTTATTTCCAGAGTTACGTAAAAAGTTTAGTGATTCTTTTCGTAGACAAACCAATGGTCCATATTCTGATGTAGGTTGTGCCCCAGATATGTGTGACAAGTAGTGAAATTATCACAGAATTTGTGAAATAATTGTTTAATGTTGTAGGCTATATTAAATAAGAATAAATTTATCTGTCAATGTTACCAACATCCAAAAATGTTAATTCATTTTTCACAACATAGTTTTTTAACCATTCAGATTTTGTTTGAATTATTTTGTTTCAATCTAGCACAATGTCTGAGAAATAAAATAACTTACTTACATAAATATATCAATATGATTGAATAAAATATATCTTAGGGTGTTATTATTCACTTATTGTGTTTGATATTGTGTTAGGAAACGTTTTTGGTGCTACTCGTTGGTGCGTTTTATTTTAAATATTTGAAAAAAAACAACATAATTGAACAATTTCTTTTAGTTTTTTTCTGTCATCATACTTTTATATTACACTTGAATGTAATTCTATTTGTTCACAGTACTTTTAGTCAGTTATAGAGTTGCAAAAACCATTAATAAACGAAGTTCCTTGGCTTTGCTTTTTGACAATAAAAAGGGTATAGTGCAATAGTTTTCATTGTTTAGTGTGCAAATATTGGATGCACCGTTTTTTATTGAGTTATGATTGACGGTTTAAATGATAGATTACTAGGTGAAACCCGTTGAAATTGTCGGTTAATTTCGCTAACGCTAATTCATCTAACTTGCGACAAGTAGAGTAAAATTTTACAAATTTTGAGCATTTACCATAGTTTAATGGGTAATAAATTGTAAAAACAATAATGACTATTGCGTTATCTACAAAATATGGTTGATCATTCAATGAATAACATATTTCCCATACCGTACGTCATCGGAGTTATTATTACTATGTTAACTGGTTTCTCTTCTTTTGGAAGAACCTATTAATAGTATTAAAATAGAATTGGTGGGTCTTTTGTGGTAAAAACTTCCACGATTTCATCAGTGTAGTGCAGATTAAATCTATGCTTTTATTTGATAAAAATATCTGTTTGTTGAGAAGGCACATTATTTTTGACTTCAAAGGGAGGTCCACTCTTAAGCTGTGTGAGTTTGATTTTTCCTTTGTCACGTCAGTCATCATGCCGTACTTCTGTGCCAAAATATACCCTCTAACATAGTTCAGAGAAATTGGTCGTGGAGTTACTGTTTAAGCTGGAATGTCGAGGACACATGTTTCATGTTTCGCTGTAAATAATCGTAGCTTAAGTATTTTTATTAAAAGTGAAGAAGACCAGTTGAATAATAAGACGTTGAATAAGTCCATAAGATGCAATGATAAACGTTACAGATTGCACTAAAGCTTTAGAGGTTGATTGTGTTTTAAAAATTAATTCAAATACCCCCAACCCCACAGCAAAGCTGCAGAATAAGGGCTGCAGCATAATTTATCTTACTAATATTATAAATCTGAAAGTTTGTGAGTTTGTGCGATTGTGTGTGTGTGTGTGTGTGTGTGTGTGTGTGTGTGTTGCCCAATCACGCATAAACTACTGGACGGATTGGGCAGAAATTGGGCATGATGATAGCTCACATTCCCGATTAACATTTAGGCATATTCTTATCTCAAAAATCCTTTCGGGTACCGCCCCAGTGGCTCTGTAGTTCACTATGTTAACCTTATGAGTATTCATATTTAAAGGAATTAAAGAATTTAGACAGCTCTTTGAAAAAAAAAATTTTTCTATGATATGTAAAAGCATTAAAAGTTATAAGATTTACCAACAGGGTGCGACCTTATTAAAAAACTGAATATGGCCGTAAGAACCTTTTACGTAAATACCTTACAGTATCAAGTTACAAGGAAAAGGTTTATATAGACAAGGGCCTGTGCATAGATATGAGTTGTGTGTGGTTGTATTTACTGTAATCGGAATTTGAAGGATCACTGTAAAGATGTGGAATATTTCAAACTATACTCCATTCACAACATTTTGGTGGTTTTAGGGTAGGGAAGACATCTAACCCTTCCACTTTAAGATCCTAACATAGCTAAAACATAGATCTACAGATGAGATTTATCAAAATGCCAATCAGCTGCAACATAAATTAAGCAGGAAAAAGTAGCTGGGGAACTTCCCCTTAAACCGCCAACATTTTGTGAACAAACTATAGTGTGGGCCTAAACATAAATTCTAATTGGCACAAACAACCGAATAAGTGATATTGATTATTCGATTGTTTAATTTGATATATTGATCGATATTTTCATTCAGTTGTTTGTGCCATCAGATATAGAAGTGTACCCAATTAAAAACAATTTGAAAATTGTTTGAAAGAATTCTCAAGTAGGTAAACATGGCAATACAGCCAACAGCAAGAGTGGGGGAAAATTCAATACAACTAATTTGGTCATGTAACACTTTACATATTAACACTTGTTCTGATTGGACAGCAACATTATACACTTAAACTAATGATCCCGAAGAATGTTTTTCATAGTTACGATGTCTTGAGCTGTTTCTGCAGCAACCTATTTAGCAGCAGGAGAAAATAAATGATACAATGATGATATTGAAACCCCTAGAATGGATATTGTTCAGTTGTGGAATCCATCGCCACAGCAAACTCATCTGTTTTGTAATCCTAGCAGTCGCAATGGTATTACACTACAAAAACTTTTATATTTTTGCAAATGACGAAGGCAAAATAACTTTTAAAACAGTGATGGGTACTATAGAGTTAGTTGCTTTTGCAAGCGTTCCAGTAGTGAGCATGATCTACAACTGGAAATACTTTGACCATTGTGAGCAAATCTGGGCAGATGTAGGACGTCTGATGCAACGTCTAAACCTGTCATACACGTCAAGACAACAGAAGATGATTCTCTGTGGGGTCCTCGCACAGTACTTGGGTTTAGCGGTTGCCGCTTGGACTGGTGGTTTAGCTATGCACCATGTTCTATCGAGCTTCACATATGGTTGTTTCCTGGCACCCCAAGTATATCACGTGATATTCGTGGTCACATTCCAAAGAATCTATAGAGCTGTTAATGAAAGAATCATTGAAGTAAACTCATCAGCAGGAACTGTAAGCTCTCAAACAACAGCTTCGCAGTTGGCAAACGCATTTCAACTGTACACTGAACTCCAGGAGGTTGTTCAAAAGATGAATTCTTACTTCACTCTTTACTTGCTCTCCGTCCAGTTCGTCCGCAGTTTCTTCTTGTGTAATGAAGGATTCACTTTTCTAGTCACAGCTGGATCCGAACAATTCACTTGGCCAAGACTCATCTACATAGTTCTCAACTTAACAGCTCTGTTGTCTCATTGCGCTGCGTGTGAGGCTTGCTGTCAAGAAGCTCACAAGACAGTTGTCCTCGCCCATCAGCTGGTCACGTGTAACTCTCCTGGTGTGATCATCGAGACAGTCAGACTGTTCTCTCTAGCGACGTTCAACGCCAGAGTCAGCTTCAGTGTTGGAGGAGTCTTCTCTATAGACATGTCTCTAGTTACAAAGATGCTCTCGCTTGTAATCAGCTACCTCATTGTAGTGCTACAACTCACGGACTAAGATGTGGACTTCAAAAATACTTTGCTGAATAGTGCTATTTAGCTAAGTACATGAACACAGACCATCTCACTATCACTGACTACGGATTTGGAATATTTTGAACCAATTAGGGCCTAATTATCATTTTTCCTTTTCTAAGTGAATTTTATATTGTTTTACATGGCTAGGAATTCAATAAGGAAAGTCACATTTTTTTGGCTTTGAACAAAACAGTGGGGTTATCAATATAGTGATGGTTAAATAGTATTTTATCTCTGGACACATTTGTTTCAGAAAACGAAAGATTGTTTTCTTGGCTGCAAATGAATATTTCCAATAGAAAATGAAGAGGAATATAGAGGAAAATAGAGGAAGGGACATTGTGTCAACAATAGAACAGTTCATTTCCTGAGTTACGTAAAGAGTTTAGTAATTCTTTCCCTAGGCAAACCAATGGACCATATTCTGATGTAGGTTGTGGCACGAGACGTGTGACTAGCAATAGAAAAAATATCACAGAATTTGAGCAATAATTAATTGTTTAGTGTTGTCACATTTTTTTGGCGTTGAACAAAACAGTGGGGTTATAAATATAGTGATGGTTAAATAGTATTTTATCTATGGACATATTTGTTTCAGAAAACAAAAGATTGTTTTCTTGTCTGTTAATGAATATTTCCACCAGAAAATTGAGAGGAAGAAACATTGTGACAACAATAGAACAGTTTATTTCCAGAGTTACGTAAACAGTTTAGTGATTCTTTTCGTAGACAAACCAATGGTCCATATTCTGATGTAGGTTGTGCCCCAGATATGTGTGACATGTAGTGAAATTATCACAGAATTTGAGCAATAATTGTTTAATGTTGTATGCTATATTAAATAAGAATAAATATATCTGTCAATGTCACCGAAATCGAAAAATGTTAATTCATTTTTTCACAACCTAGTTTTTGAACCATTCAGATTTTGTTTGAATTATTATGTTTCAATCTAGCACAATGACTGAGAAATAGAATAACTTACTTACATAAAAATATCAATATGATTGAATAAAATATGTCTTAGGGTTTTATTATTCACTTA